TATATCAACAATATGGATAGGTAAGTCAAAAGATACAGATGACAATATCAATGAGTTCGGTTTGCTGGGATTATCTTCTCTTGACCACAATTACTCGTATTTTGACCTGTAACTGATGCTCCATACTTCTAACACTATTTGTCGTACGCTGCCATCAATACTTGCTACAACTTTTAAAATTAAGACCACACTGGCAGTATTAAAGTGCTGTTCAATTTGAGCTAATGATCACGTATGACGAGTCAACAATAATAATCTATAAAAACAAATTCAACAACACCAACTGCAAAAAAACCAAAAAAAAACATGCATTTAGCCTCAATTCTAGCGCTACCATAAAATAAATGACAATACAAATCATCAATAAATTACGTTACCACAATTGATATTCTAAGCGTCATCTTGTAGAACCATAAATACATAGACCTATTACAACGTAATTTCTAACTAACGGCATGACCGGTACTCATACTAACATTATTTTTTTTTTCTGAAACTGGTAACACAACACAGCGGTCTGTACCACACGCCATTCATTACATGTTAGTCACTAACAGTTTATGGTTTATCACCATTTTGTAATTATCCGATTATTATTTATATCACCAATTATTCATGTACACAAATCACAATATTGAAAATATAGGCCTACCTTATAGTTCAGCTACACTATTGAACAGACAGGCCTACTATTCGTTCGCACGAACTGCATGAGCAAGCATCCGGTGGTCAGTATTCATTATTCATTAATTAGCATAATAATTTAGTTATTAGTCTAACCAAATGTTTACTGCACAGAAGTTGCCATTGTAAGCCTACAATAAAATATATAAAAAACCAACATTGAAAACACGCAAAGGGATCATAAATAAAACGAATACAACGGTAGACAATAACCGGTAATATCGTAGACCTTCTAAGAGTGCCGGTAATAATGATAAAATGGAATTTAAGCCAATGTCTTATTAAGACAAATTGTCCTACATCAAAATGACGTTTATACAATCTGACTATTGCCGACTCACTGCATTAAGTCGGTTTTCGACTAGGCGAATTTATTCGCGCAAATCGAAAGTGTCGTTCATGCGCATGAGCATTCACATTTCTATTGGAGCTTTCACTTCAACGAAATCGGTAGTTCGAACTGTTTCTACCTTTTGCGAAGCGAAAAATATGCGCGGTGGAAAACCGGCTTTAAAATCATTCTATCGTCATCAGCAGTAGTTTTTTCCGTCATCAGAAATAGCAACAGCTACAGCATCATTATTGTCATTTTGATTTCCATTATACATTTAGATCGTAATTACTTTTCATTTTAAAGAAGATTCTCGCTATTTTCATTTCATATTTAGACTGTATTTATTTTATGACACTAATATCATATTATCTTTTATTTTGTTGTTATTCATGTACGCCACCATCAACAGAGGAACCATTAGATTGTAATACTTTTCATTTTAAAGAAGATTCTTGCTATTTTCATTGAGCCATATTCAGACTGTATTTAGTGCCTATACTTTATGACACTAATATTATATTTTATTTGAATTTGTTGTTATTCAGGTACGCCTCCATCAACAGAGGAACCATACGGCCCTTATCCCATAGTCATACACCCTGATGCTAATCCTGAACGCAACGTTCTGGTTGTACAAGATTACACTTTTGGAAAATACCTTGGAGATCTTCAGGTCACATTTGACGAAAACGGTGATGTTACGGCATGGCAAGGAAATCCAATTTTTCTAAATAGCTCAGTTGTTCAAGGTACTGATCCTTTATTGCTTTACCTTCAGTTTATAATAGCCGTTTTTCATAGAAAGCGATACAGTAGACTATTCGGTTTGTATTTCATAAATAATATACCAGTTTTGAATGGTTTTTCACACGTATGCTGTTCAATAATTAATAGATCCAAATGTTCTAAATGACGTCAATACATGGAGTGAGCCTGTCAGAAATGTCTCCAGACAATATGTCGGCCGAACAAATGTGAAGTTGGAAGGAGATCGGATTTACTGTCGGCAAACAGAATGCAACTTGGGTAATCTTATTACTGACGGTTTCGTTCACATGAATGTCCGAGAACCAGATGAGCTGAGGTGGAGTTTGGTCAGCATGGCGATTTGGAATGGCGGGGGAATTAGGCAGTCCATTCAAGTCGGTGAGTTGTCTGTAGGTTTCCACGTGCAGTGACGTGGTCGCGCGTGATTATGACTTGTACACGGGACCACGTTTTTACACGTTTCCTAAGCACGGCCATGTGAATTCATACGTTTTCGTGTACATTACCGTGGTAAAAATCAAGGCATGCGAAGTGCACAAAAACATTAACAGGATGGGGTCTGGACTTGATGAACGTTAGCCCAAAATTTAATATCACCTCACTTATTAGAAGCGGCCACACATGGACATAGCCATGACCGCTAAAGACCTAGTGAAATAATGATATAGGCCTATTCATTTATATTTCTTGACCAGCCAGTGTGAGCATGAGCCTGGTGAATAAATACATAAACCAATCAAATATTTAGACATTACAAGGTTTGTATTGATCAAAAAATAATATAGCAGTCACTCTTTTTATATGGCTATACCATATACCATAGACCATTTAAGCAAAATTTGTTTTGGTTTATGAGTTTTTAAAAGTTATCTGTCTAAATATAGACGTGTTGATCAAATTTAACAACCAATCAGAAGGGGACCAGAAACGCGCGGACCGGCGGCGTAGCGAGTTGGTGATGGGCCTCAGTGCAAGATAATTGTCGGGGCCCTAAAAGCACCTGATCGGACCCAGAGAGAGCCTTGGTGGAGTCTACTTGGGCAAAGCTCTTAATGCTCATACATTCTAAACTTGTTTAAAATGGATACGGCATTGTAAAACGAGTATAAATATCTATAAACCATTCGAAAACATAGGCCTATTCAAAATATAGTAAAGTCATACAGTATTATCGTTTAGGTTGGGAATTTCATGTGTCTCTGGTAAAGTGTAATATTGACAACAATAGAGCAATCGATGACATGCTAATGGTTCTTACACTATTTTGGATTTTTGTTTCTTTTTTTTTGTTGCACTGGAGCATTGACAAAGGATAGTTCAACCAACTTTAAATTACACTTATCAAACAAAAACGTGGGTGCCGATATTTCAATTGCTTTTCTTATAAATATGCTTTTAAAGAGTGTTTTAGTACATCGTATCGTGGTGTGGAGCATAGGACCACGTAAATACATAATGGAAGAAAATAACCTTTATTGTATTTAACAGATACGAAGCTGTTCATCATGTTTTTTTTTTGTTGTAAAAAGTCATCCTACTTGCAGTGTTTGGTGTCACGTAATATGTAAATTGTATGGAATACAATATATATTTATGACCAAAATTAATGAGGGGATGCACTGGCTACACTGCCTCTATACCTACGCCACTGACGAGGACGTCCCACTACAAACACACGTGTATTCGAGTACGATTACACTGTGATTTTTTTTTATGCAACAATACCCAAAGGGCGGGGTCTAGCTAAACGATCCATTCAATCATAGCGTATGTGCAAATCTAACCGTTTTATCCGTTTGTATTGTTTTTGAAGGTGACATCACAATTGGTGATGTTAATACTGTGTTACCTTTTGGAAATACTGTTGATATTGTTGAACTGAAGGGACTGCATATCAAAGAAGCTTTCGAGTACTGTGTTAAAAATTATGGCAATGGAGATTTAGGAGGAGAATTCTTACAAGTTTCAGGTACTGTAACACATAGGCCTAGTCGATGAACATTTAAAGTATATAGGCCTATTAGATATCTAGAACTATTTACTTCAGAATTTAGGTGTTCACTTAAGGATCGTTCTTTTAAGCTTCATCGTTTATAGACCATTCATTTAAGGTTCGTCGTTTATGAGAATGGAAACACCAATATTTGGCTAACCTTGAGACAATAGTCAACTGAAAACAAATACCGGTACAATGCACAAGCAAAGCAAACACAAATAAAATAAAGTAAAAAATAAATAAATAAAATTATTTTAAAAATTTATTTCCCCAGGTATTCGAGTGAAGTACGACATGAGAAAAGAGAGCGGAAGTCGCGTTGTGGAAATAGAGGTTCGCTGCTCCAATTGCACTATTCCTCACTTTGTTCCGTTAGAACCTGAAATGGTGTACCCAGTAATTACGAGCAGCTATATAGCGGACGGTGGGGATGGCTTTGAAGTCATCTCACAAAATAAAATTAGTCAAGTATCTGGTAAGTAGGCAAAATAATGATTTCATTAAACATACGAACTCGTAGTATGTTGCGATGAAGGCATGCTTTAACGATCAACGCATTTGTTGATGTAAGTGAAGCTGCTGCATACACTAGCAAAATAGTTCCCAACCTGGGGTCTGCGGACCCCTAAAGAAATATAATTGTGGGGTTCGCCAAGTGAAAATAATCTGCAGGGGTTCCGTAAAAAATGTTGGGGGCCGATAGATTTTTAAACCAATTTTTCATGATTCCATATATTGCTTGTCTTACAACAGAAGCAGGCTGGTTTCCCCCTGGACATTTCCCAGACATTAGCCTCCCCGTCTTCCCCAGACAAATTTCCCTGACGTCTTCCCCCTCCCCCAATCTATTTCGATTTCATTTTATTGTAGGCTGTACCTATTTTTATTTGTAATGATGACACTATCAATGTATTAGGCCTACTACTTAAAAATTGCTTATAATATACCGTGTGAAATTATTTATTTCTCCATTTTTTCTAATTCATCAGGGAATCTAGAATCTGCAATGTTAGCAGAATACATCACGCTCTATTCTCCTATTACAACTGGTCTCGATAATCGCATTATTTTCATTACCGAGGAGGAGGACCCATGTGTTGGGAGCAGCGCATCTATACCGGTCTCGGCACCGCTCGTTATGTCTTTAACACTTCTTTTACTATCAATGATGTTCAAGAACGTAGGCCTATGATGGATTTATGTTTAACAGGACAAAAGGTGCCTAATGTTATTGACGATGAAGTAGAATAGATGATGTAGGCCGACTTAGGGTATTAAAGCAAATACTATGTGATTATTGAGATAATTGAAAAGGCCTCATAATACCATGGTTCCTATGCTGTGAAGTAATAGGAACCTTCGCAATATTCCATGCATTCCATGTCCGTGTGTACGGACGTCAGTAATGCTGACGTCATCCAATTCTTCGAAATTTTGTAAAACAAGCAAAGTTGAATTTCAAAACACCTGTTGTTTAGGAATTTTTGCATACATGTACAGTAGTATTATTATGCCCTATTGCTATTTTTGGATAAATATTAATGCAATACACGAGAACTTATTAACCGATCCTCAATCCAAACTCGAAATACAGTTAAAGCTAGCGTTATAGTACTGTGGATTACTTAATGTTTGATAGAAACCAGATAAATTTTCCTGACCTATCTCCAAATGATAATTGACTCCTGGAAATTTACAAAAACTACCACTTTAGATTAAAATGTCCCTAACATTTCTACCTTAATTAAGAATTTAAAAAATATATATTTTGAGCTTTCTTTAAAGAAAAGTCCTGGATCCATTTACTTTGTGTCCTTATTTCTATTTACTTCATCAAAACTGTAGTGTAATATTTTACTATAAAAAGGCTGCACTGGAACATCGACCCTCACATACGTCTTGTTAAATATTAGTAGTAGGCCTATTAGACATTTACGGTAAGTTTTGTATATAATTTTCTATTACAGTATACAAATATAATATACAATTAAATACCTGCGTAGAAAATTTAAACCAGGTGGCACGAAAGGTCTCGTTACTGGAACAACGCCCGGGCTTGAGATAATTTACCTAGTTCAGACTGGAAGGTGGATAAACCTGTATGTTTAATAATAATAAATCAGTGGTACATTTACGCTATTGCTTTGTGGAGCCATAGCTACTGTGTCCAAGTAAGCAAAATGTAATAATGTTCAAAGATGACTGTCATGAGCTAAAACAATTGAAATATTTAAATCCATGTTTAAACTGCATTATTTCTATATTTAATTGAGTTATTATCTCTTAAATTTGGCTAGTACATAATTTTTGTACTGAAATCAGCAAACATTTTTTTTTAATTTTCATCTGTTTGAAAGTTAATAATTTATTTGAAACTTTTAAATGATCATTTAAAATTTCAATTGAATTTTCAAGATTTTAACAATTTTATTTCTTTTGCAGAGAGTACATCTTTAATTAAATAAATGTTTATATACACATGGATAGTGCTAACTAAAATGTCTATTCTTATATACACATATTTTACAAATCCTTCAGTCAAGTACGGCATGTCACAGGCAGTTTTCACATTTCTAGTCCAGGTCATTCAGATCGTCATTTGCCATATAATGATGATGTCCGTACAGCTTGGTTGCTTTTATTCTTCTCTTTTCTTCACATTCTTTACTTTTTTGCTCTCTCTTACTCTTCCTTTTTTCTTTTGGCTCTTCTACTTCCTTCTTTTTTTCCTCCTTTTCCCTCAGCATTTCTCTGTATGCGACTTCAGATATTACATGGGGTAGTTTCTTTTTTATTTTGGTTTTATCCTGCTTTGCTGCTCTTTTGGGGAAATACAGATACTCCTCCAGCGATGGAGAGACAGGTTGGTTTTAGACGAAAAAGGGGTGATTTAGAGGAGACTACTTGCCTAGGAGACACAGATGATGTTGGTCTCTCCCAGCTGCAGAGGTGGTTGGTTTGGGAAGGAGAGGCAGCTTAGAAGCGTGGTAGAGTGTCTTCCAGGCTGTATACATGGGATCAGGATCAAAGCACTCGTCAAGTCGTTGATAGTACAAGGCTACCGTGTCAGGACTGAGGGTGGATTCAAGAGTGAGAAGGGCGCTCTTCGCTGATGATGAAGATGTTGATATTGTTGATGTTGATGACTGTGGTGGCGGCATTACTGATGAGGATGTTGCTGGTGTGTCATGATAAACTGCGGAGAGCAACAATTTGTCAGTGTCTATATGAAATTAATTTAGATGAAAAAAAGCAGTAATAGATGAAGTGGTAAATATACACGTAGTAGGTCTAGTGCTTGGAAGTTATTAATCTAAAGAAAAAAAACACAAATGATAACAAAATTCATTTTCTTTAATTTAATAATAAGAATGTAATCAAAAGTAACACATAACATAGAGATTTTATGCATTATGCGCCCTATAAATCCATACTTATTATTACATTCGTCAAGGAGGTTATGTTTTTACCAAGGCCTTTTTCACGAATCGGTAGACATCTTGAAGTGATGAAACATTGCGAATCAGTGGTGCGTAACCAACAGAAATAAGATAAGCTTTTGGGCTGATTTTCTGACATCATGTTATTTAAAAAATCATAAATTCATAACGAGGCGTCGTATCCAAAACGTTTTTCCAGCAAAATGTTCTTAAAAGACTAGTCTACACCACTGTATGATTGAAAAAAAATGTTTTTGACCTCTGAAATCAAGATGGAAAAAGAAAAGCCTATCTAAGTAGTGTATTAAAATAGGCCGATGCATTACAGAGTAGTAGCATAGCACTTTCGTGTTTATTTATTTATTCTTTCTTTATACTGTGTAGGCACTTTCAGTATTATTTCATTGATTTTCAAAGTGATACAGTTTAAACATAACAAAAATATGTACAATATAAAGAATTGTTTAACAAAAATAAAAAGAATATGGGCACCACTACTGCAAGTGTTGTTGTTATATCTTATACATTAATCCTTAGATGTGTTATTATAGATGGCCACCGCTACTGAATTATGGGCACCACTACTGCAGGTGTTATATGTTATACATTAATCCTTAGATGGGCACCGCTACTGCAGGTGTTGTTATATTTTATATATTAATCCTTAGATGGGCACCGCTATTGCATTATGGGCACCGCTATCGTAGGTGTTATTATATTTTATACATTAAACCTTTAGATGGGCACCGCTATTGCAGGTGTTGTTATATTTTATATATTAATCATTAAATTTATTTACTTATTATTTTTTTATTTATTCTTTATTTATACTGTAGGCACTTTCAGGACTATTACACTGATTTTCAAAGTAGTACACTTTAAACATAACAAAAATATATACAATATAAAGAATTGTTAAACAAAAAATATAAAAAATATAGGCACCACTACTGCAGGTGTTGTTATAACTTATACATTAATCCTTAGATGGGCACCACTAATGCAGGTGTTATTATATTTTATATATTAATCCTTAGATGGGCACCGCTACTGCAGGTGTTATTATATCTTATACATTAATCCTTAAATGGGCACCACTACTGCATTAATGGCACCACTACTGCAGGTGTTGTTATTATATATTAAATCCTTAGATGGGCACCGCCTCTGCATTATGGGCACCGCTACTGCTAGACTGGGTTCCAGTCCCTAATCTTTGTCTTAATCAGTTGAAATGCTTAAGAATAAATCGATTTTGGCACAAATGGCGTTCCATATTACTTATTTGCATGCGTTCCATAGTATACTTTTTCTGGGATTAGGGACTGGGAAAACAGTGAGGATTTCGAGTGCAGGCACCACGATTTCGTGGTGCCTGACGTATTTAACAACTTTGATTTCCGATTGGTTAATTACCGTCGCATATATTAAATATGCTAATTATGCTTCCCCTCGGCCCAGCTAATGATAAGGAGGATTCAGGTGCAGGTCAGCTCAGCTTGTGCACCGCGAGGATTGCTAGGCCCATATCACAAATCGTCCAACCATGGAGGTAATATTTAAACGCACCTTCACAACAGAAGTGTGCTGCATGGAAAGTAACCAACTTCACGCCAGTTAATAAATACAGTATTATTATCGATATGATACAGCCAAGCTCATGCTTTCTCGCCGAGTTCAGCACATTCAGGTTTAGGCCTAGCCTAGAGAGAGCACAATAGTCAATATTCACGTCGGTTTTGCAGACATCTATTTGAAATAGGCCTACATATTAGTTTTGACATACAGTAATGTAATTGTTGTAGTTAATATAGCATTAAATAATAATAATACTGTATAAATATTTAATTTTTGGCTGGCTAAGATCTAGGAACCTCAATTTGCTACGTACGTCGAATGGGTGAATATCATCGTATCTATGGACAATTGCATCCTTTGCATAAAGCTGTATTTCCGAAATTTAAACAATGAATAAATATATAATTTTTTTTGTTTTTAATTAACATTTGATGAGAAGCTGAGTAAGAAATTATTGTTTAATGAGAAAGGTTTAATTTATTGTTCATTGTACAGTATGTTGGCCAAAAAGGAGGCCTAATTGATTTAATTACATGACATCCATTTGTTTTTAAATACATTTATATTTTAATCTTAAATTAATCACAACACATTTCACCCCTTAGTATCAAATTTTTTTTTGTATTTTTTCAAAGCTACAGTGAGTAATATGCAACTCCAAATTTACAAACAATATTTATAGCATTTTATTGGGCCATAAATAAAACAAATAGACAAAAAGGAGAAAATGAGCAATTCTTTTAATTGTTCTGATCTCCATAGCTATCAGATTTATTTTTCAATAAATATAATCATTCTGTTTAATTTGTAAAAATAAAGAGGCTACATTGCAGGTAATGAGAAAACAATTTAGTTGCATGTATTTGGATTAAAATACATTGTAACTGTCATTGTACGAAACTAAAAAAATGATCCAAACCGCAGTGATTTTACACTTCAAACTTTATTTGTTGATCTTTCAGTGTTTTACCATATATATTATCAACTGCTTCAGGAAAAAAAAATACTTTTACTAATTAACAAACAATTTACTATATTAATTAACAGTCAATTTAACGTCAATGCAAAAGAATACAGGAAGGATCATACTGTATTTAATTGTTCATTATCATAAGCATATTTCAGTACAATTAATATCGAAATGACACTGGGTTTGGTATA